ACAGCTACATTTCTAGATTATATTGCAGCATAGGAAAGAACAACATTGTCTAGACAAAAACTATGCCAAAAATTTGCATTTATATAAATATCGCCCAACTCCTATGTATTTACATATCTAACACATGAACTTTACTTTTTTTTCACATTTATATGACTAAAATTTTCAAATCGCATAAAAAAACGGCCATTTTTATTTTCTTACTTCTGGAAGATAAAATACACTTTTTCATGCATAAGTTGGCATGAATTTAAAGGTTGAAGCTTAGATGTTAGGACATGTTAAAATGATTAAGATTTGAGTGATATGTATGTAAATCTTCCTTTTCTTTTCAGGGGGCATTTGCCTACATACCACCCAATTCCTATGTATTCACGTATCTAACACCTAAATCATACTTCTTACATTAATATCACTCGAATCCTTCATATCACATAAAAACACCATCATCTTAACCTTTAAGAAGTGGAATGCTCAATGTCATTTGTAAAGTGGGTGACATGTATGCAAGAAATTAAAGTCTAGGCGTTAGATATGTAAATAGTGAGTGTAAATCTTCCTTTTATTTTTCTCAAGCCAAAAAAATGGCAAAACCGATCAACATCAAACCTTAATAAGAACAGGTACAACGATATTCATGCAAACTGCTAAATTGATTTGATGAGGTAGTGCTCAAACACAAGTAGCAGGGATTTATTGGAGATTATGTAGAATCTACATGTCATTGCAGTTTACCTCTTGTTAGCGTACCTAAGAAAAATACGGAAGTAGTGTCCTTGAGGGAAAGTTTGAACCCGAACCGATGAGCTGCTCATGCACGTGCACGTTGCACGTGTGGGACTTGAGCCGATGCACTTCAATTAAGACTTGATCATGTTTGTTTAAATTAGTAAATGTTAAATGAACTAAATATAGATATAGTAGAACTTGTTCATTTATGTTCAGGAACAAACTGATATGTTATTCAACTAACAACCTATTAAATAATTGATATTAATATCGATAATAGCTTCTATCATATATGATTTATTATTTAGTTAAAACTTGATTAACTGCAATTTAATTAATTATATATTTCATATTAATATTTTATCATATCAATTAATGAAATGTTTTGCTTTATGAGTTATTGGATAGTATAAGTTCTTTCAGATTTTTTTTGCTCTTATTTTCATTATTCTAATTTCTTATAATGCATCCTTGAGAGAAAATATTTATTATAAACACTATATGAGAGAATGTTGGTTAGTTTATTTTCATTTCTGGTTTATTAAATTATTCATTTATTTAGATTTGCAAAATTATTTATTGAAACTTTTATATAAAAATATAAATACTCATTTGAATTTTTAGCTTGTTTAAAAACTCGATCACTTGTCATAAACAAATCAAGTTCTGCTATTGAAAAATTTAAATAGCTCAAGTTTTAAAAATATGTGAAAGCTCGACACGTGTTCAAGCCAAACATGAACAACTTAAATTGTATCAAGTCAAGTCCAATCTATGGTATAGTATGCTCGGTTACACCCTTAGCTATGATGATTTTGTTGAGAAAATGCTTCTTAGATTATAATATTATGAATTCAAATTATATTTGTGTGTGATGGGAACGAAAACAATCCCCTTCAACTTTACTAGGACTTATATTCAATTTCAATCCAACTCTTAACACGGAATAGAACACACATATTTGAAAAAACTGAAACAAAAATTATGAACTTCTAGAAAAGCACACAATGATTTAACATGGAAAAACTTAAAAATAGGAAAAAAATCATAAAGCTACACCACCAAGAAAATTTCACTATGAATTCAGAAATTTTATAGAGAACACATTCAAACTTATTCTCTATAATCAATGAAACTTACAACATTTCACTCTGAATCCTTCCTCTAGATCCGATAAAAGAAACACATTCAAATTTCTCCTCTTCGACAATCTCTCCTTCACCGGGAAATTTTTGAAGAGTTAAAAGCAATTAAATACTCATATTTCTAGATTACACTAACACAATGAAAGCGAAAATAATATGCATGTCAGTTAAGATTTTAATAAATCAATTTAAAATATTGAAAAGTTTATGAATATGATAACTTATGATATTTTATAATATTTGAGGTGTTTTATTATATGAATAACATATCTATATCATTCTATATATGTACAACCATCACAGCTGCACCATATAAAAATTGCACCAGTAAATGTATGTCAATAATGTTGACTATATTATTGTCGTCGATATTGGTGGAATTTACGAAGTAACGCCATACATTGCTGAATAATAAAGTATCATACAAAGTAATGACACACATTGCAGAGTACAGAGTATTGAAGGCTCCTGCAGAGTAACGAGACATGTTGCAGAGTAACAAATTACTCTATTGATTGACGAAGTCTCTTGCATACATAATAACATGTAGTGTTCAAAATAATGTGCAGCGGTGTACCTTGAATGCAATGTGTTAAAGTCCCGGCAATAACTCCCGATGGCAATTGCTTTCGAGCGTTGTAATCAGAACACATCAAATATTTTTTTATATTGTAGAAATTAATGAATCATTATGCTTGGTGTAAGATCATAACCATTTCTTAGTTATGGGAATCTTTCTTTGTACTTGCAAACTTATAATGAATCATTTTGATTATGATAGGTCCCATGATTCTTTCCCTTGTCGGGTTTTCCTACAAAATTTTTGGTGTCCCCTCTTATTTTGTTTTCAATATTATCTATATGTATCATGAATTTCGTATAACGTTGAGAGACATTAGATCATTATCATATCACCTAGTACACAACAACACATATGATGAGTCTCACATTTCACTAGTTTTTATTTGCCCATCAATAAATATCTCGAGTCATCACTTAAAAATGATGGCTCTCTCTCTCTCACTCTCTTAGATATTATATAAAAGAGGAGTGAATTTTGGGGCTTTCCTCTTGAAAATAGTTTTTCTTATCTTGAAGGTGTGCTTGTTTTTTTTTGTTTATTATGATGTTTTCTTAATCTCGTGCACTCATCATTTCAACATAGTATTAATGGATGGAGACATGATGCCAATTAAATAAATTTTTTTTCTAATGGATCTTAGCAGATTCTCAGCATACGCCTCTTTTTTTTATTTTTATTTTTATTTTTTTTATAAAACCATCCAAATAAAATAAAATATGTGTGTTTGGACTAAAAATAGCATCTACTTGCACTTCAACACAAAAGAATATATACACAATTCTTAAACAAGAAGCCAATGCAAAATATGAGAATCAGCCCATCCACTAGCTACAGCTAATACATATATAAACTTATATAAATAATAAATAAATATAAATACATGGCGTTTACATACATAACACCCAATTCATATCTATTTACATATCTAACACCTAGACTTTTACTTTTTTGCATTTACACTCATATCACATAGCACATAGCAAATAGCACTTCTTTAAATATTAAAATAAACACATTTTCATGTATAGATAAATTGAATTTAGGTGCCACATATGGCATACATATTAAAGCAAGAAAATTTAACTGAAATCGTGGCATATTTAGACGAAGTCAGCAGACTAGCAGCCTTCATACCCACCAGCCGGTCATCGCCACCTAACTCCATCCCTAAATTTTATTATATATGTATAAAAACAAACACTGATTAATTTAAACATTTTAATACTTTAAAATTGACAAAATGTCAACATTTAGCTATATTTAAATCTGCAATATGTCATGCAGAGGAGCGCTCAGTTATCTCAATCTCCTTGCCCTTTATCAGCAAAGCACTGCTCATTTGAAAGCTATTCATCTGCTTCCATATGGCAAATTATAAGTTTTTTATTAATATGAACAAATTTTAATTTTATATATAAATATGTGATTACTACGAAGCAAAATCATTTAAATTTATATATATCACAACCGCAAATTTACATATATCACAACCGCAAAAGAGCCATTTTTTTCATTCCTGAAGAAGTAAAAAGAAAAAAAAATCGGATTTTTTTTTCTGTTTTGTTATCTTCCGGTGAGGACGCCGCTGAATACATCGCCGGATCCGCTCATAGAAGCTTCCCATTCTATTGAGGCGGAGAGAATCTGAGATAGCTTCGCCGTTATCTCGCTTATTTCCGGCCGGTCGAAGGGGTCATCGCTCAGACACCAAGCGGCGATCTCGGCCATCTGTAACACAATCAATTTGTTTATGAAACAGAAAGATTTGCATATATACCAATCGATTTCTATGTATTTACATTCCAAACTCCAAGCTTCAATTTCTACATGCATGCATGCATTAAAAAGTGTATTTCAGTTTTTAAAAATTAGTACAAATTACACATTGAATTTCTTGAAGTATGCAATTTAACTACTTAATTCATCAAAATTTAACCAAATCGAACACTTCAAATTTGTAGGACCAATTCGGCTCAAATTTGATAGATTAAGAAACTGAAATTGAACGCTTCAGAAATTCTGATATTAAAATGGACAAACATAATAAAAAGTCTCAGATTTGTTAGATATTTTCATTGTCGTCCAACATATTTATTTAATTTAGTCACTAAATTTATCAGAATTTGACCAAATTGATCTGACCTTCAAAACTGCTAAAAAGTCTCAGATTTGTTAGATATTTTCATTCTCGTCCTACATATTTATTTAATTTAGTCACTAAATTTATTAGAATTTGACCAAATTGATCTGACCTTCAAAACTGCTATTTATATATATATATATATATATAATTTGCAGAGGGAACTTTCTAGAATTGGGGGCCTTCTAAGCATGAGACATAAAAAATATAAACTTTTTATTAAAAAATAAATCAAATTAAAAAAAAAATCTAAAAAATTATTAGATTTTCAAACCTTAAAGACTGATTCCATGGGAGAGCTGCTCCTGAGGCTTCCTTCAACTTTTTCTTCTAATGCACTCTCAGGATCTTCGTCATTAAAAACAGCTTTCATCTGTTTTGAAATGGCAAACAAACAAGACAAATAATCTTTCTTTTAGAAAATATTTTTTTTGTGCTCTTACTCGTAACATATTAATTGGAAACAAAGTGGTGATCTAACACCTAAATTTTTATTTATTAATTAATATCTAACAACTAAACTTTGATTTTTATGATTATATTACCCAGTTATCTACAAACAAAACTAGATTATCTTCGGAGTTTGAAATTGAACTAGGCTAAGTCCACGGTCCACCCTGGAATTTGATATTTGACTATTAAGCATAGAAAATGTGATAATTTTTTTCTATATAATTTAAGAAGATTTATAATTTTACCCTCTTAATAAATTTTTTGTATAATATTTCAAAAAATAAATATTTGATAATTTGCCTACTCTAAATTTAATTATTAAGAACTAAAGCACATCTTTTCATCTATATACATGGTGACATTTACATATATGTATGTGTGTGTCGGCTAATGTGACCCATTGGTTGGTAGAGTTTGTAAGATCTCTAGGGTGTCACGGATTTGATCCCGACTATGTGCAGAATGAAATTCTTAGACACATTAGTCAGGAGGCTCGTCTAATAGTTTCCAACCCATTTTTTTTTAAAAACTATATAGATATATATAAAAGAATTTAGTGGTATAAATATTTAAATCTTCCGGAAGGAAAAAAGAAAAAAAAAATTGATTGAAATGATTTTTTTCTTTTCTTTCTTTTTTGATGACTTACAACAGGGACGAGAGATTTCATCTTTGTGGCTTCTTTATTGTCGCGACTCAAGGCACGGCAGCCTGTGATGAGCTCTGCAATGACAACTCCGAAGGCGAACACATCCGTTTTGGTTGATGTCTGGAACTCCATAAGCGACCTGCTCAGCATTAATTACATCAACATTTCTAAAACCTTAGTAGTAACTGCAGATTATTCCAATAAAAATTATTCCAAATGAACCCAGCGCAAAGCAAATTTTCCTACTCTGGAGGGAGATAACCAGGCGTTCCAACCAGTTTAGTAGCAATCAGCTCATCTTCGCTGCTGCGCTCCACAAGCTTCGCAAGCCCAAAATCCCCTACCTGTAACAACAATAAAATAACCAAGAAGAAATATTATTATGTGCAGACAAAATATGCATATTTAGTGATATTTAACGGTATTGTGACTGTATTGGGTACAATACTATCACAATACCACCAAATAGCATCAAATCTAATGTCATGTAATATATATTTTTTCCACTGTGGCATTAATTATTACCTTTGCTCTGAGGCAATTATCCAGCAGAATATTGCTGCTCTTTATATCTCTATGCACGTAGCGAGACTTAGTGAAATCGTGAATATATTCGATTCCTCTGGCAGTGTCCAGAGCTATCTGAGCTCTTGCAGTCCATGACAGAGGCTGGTGTCCTGTTACGTTTAATTAGCACCAAATCATTTTATATTTGCAAATAATTAATATGATATAACAATTTTAGATATAATTGTGTTCACCTTTCAGCAGTGGGTCATGGAGATGGTCGCTGAGCGAGCCATTTTGAAGGTATTCGTACACAAGGTATAAGTGATCGTCGCCACTCGCAAACCCTATCAGCTCAACCTTTCGCATTCATTCCATTATATATCAGTAATGCTTCATTCAATATTTTATGAGGCAAAGCTTAAAGAAAAGGTGAAGCAAGTACATACCACGTTTATGTGGTGCACTTTGCACAAAACCTTCAGCTCTGCAAAGAACTCTTTGGACATGTTGGACTTCATCTTCTTAATCGCAACCTCCTATCATTATAATAAAACCAAAGTTAATTAACCCCTTAATAGAGATTAATTAAGCTTTTAATTGCACCAAAACTAATTACTTGAAACAATAATCACCTTGTCTGCGAGAATTCCATAATACACACTCCCAAAGCCACCCACTCCAATCACTCTTGAATTATCAAAGTTAGACGTCGCTCTCTCCACCTCCTCCAGGCTAAAAATCACCGGCCTATCCGAATCGAACGCCTTCTCTTCTACTCATAATTAGCGCCCATAATCAGCAATTAGTAAAATTACTTAGTGCCTAATCAAGTAATCAACGTAATTCGAATATTTACACAGATTAATTAATTAATTATCATCTTACCCCCCTCCAGATTGTATTGGCTTTCCAGCAGCGCGAGTCCGGACTTCGCACTCGTAATCGCCCTTGTTTCGTTCTTTGGGAGCTTTCTACGCGACCGCCTCCTCCATAGAAAAAATATGACCACCCCGCATAGAATGACAATAATTACCGGTATCGTTATCCCCAAAGCCAATTTCTTCCCTAATTAATCATTATTAATAATAATCATTCAATCCTTCATAAAATAATAAAACTAGATATATATATATATATA